GCCCCCGACATGTGCGTGAATCCGCGCGGATATATGACGTCAGGATGGCGCAATTTGTTCTAAAAATAGAAAAATTGTTCCATATCATAGGTGCGCGCGAATCCCGAGACTTAAGGTCTCCGTCCCCGATTATGGCTCCTGATTATAATTATCATCATCATTATCATTACATTATCATTATCATTATCATTATCATTATCGTCATCGTCATCGTTATTGTTATCGTTGTCGTTGTCATTGTCATTCGAGAGAGCAGCGAAAAACGGAGGACCCTGCTCAGGTTGCCCGTTGGATCTCAGAGGAATAGAACTGGTAATCACAGTAAAATAAGACTTCTGTTAGCAAATCGAACAGTCCCCAGTGAGTGACCGGTCAAAAGTACAAAAGAGTGCTGTCCATTTGTAAAAATCTCCATCGCACCTACATTCCTTGCAAGAAAATCCAGACGTTTAATTTCAGACACTTTTTATCTCATTTGGTAAAATTTTGGACAGAAATTTCGGACACTTTGCTGAAACATAGCCAAAGTGAATTTACGTGTAAAAAACGCGAATTAGGTTAAAACATCAGCTGTGAAACCCGAGGAGAAAATCATACCGTTACATATCTCAAGCAGTGTTGCCTCAACCAGAGTTCCTTTCAAAAGGTAAATCAAGAGCTTTGGAGCTACGTTAAAGTTTACGACTGAACTGTAAATACTTCGGACGCTTTAGTTAAATTTCGGACTGTTTTATTTTCCGACACTTTTTGTCCGAAATTAAAATCGTCCGAAACTTTTTGCAAGTCATGTACAAGTTTTTGCGACAAATTGAATAAACTGGAACCTTCCACAGTATGAAAAGATAACTATTATAATTGTGTAAATGCAATGCTACTTTTCCATTTTTCTAAACATGACTTGTGCACTCAGTATACACTTTAAAGTTTCCCCAGAGAGTAAGTAAACAAAAGCGAACTTTAAAAAATCGACACAGGATGACTCGTTCACATAGTTAAAAAAATATTGATTTATTTTGAAGGAAACTGTACGATGTACTTGACAAAGATTACTGGTAAGTATTTTTCTTGATAATAGTTTGTTAAATATGTAAAATAAAACTTTTATTACGTAACTGCTTTGTTTTCAGAGAGGAAGTCTCGAAAGCTTTATCACACAAAATGAGAATAAACGTACTAAGTCCAATCTACATATTTCTCAGTATTCTGTCTTGTATACAAAGCTTCACTGCCGTTCATTTCTACTCCGTCTTGTACACAAAGCTTCACTGCTGTTCAAACTGCTAGAAATGTTTTTCACAAAACTATCCCTGATGACATTCGACACCACCCGCATATAAAATGGCTTCAAATTGTAACAGTTTGTCTGCAAATATAAGCCTTAATCGTCTAAATCTGGTTCTATTTGCTTCGAGCTAAACACCCGCAGTATTCTAATTCTCAATTAAAATTGTTCATCCTTAAACACCGATGCGCGCATAATTCTCATCGAAGGATTTGATGCATCTTTTAAGGTACTCCGTGCATTAAAGTCCATATAAAGACAACCCGCTGTATTAGGAGAAATCATCACTCTTAGACCTTACACTAAAGGGGCCTGGTCAACCATCAAAGCGTGTACATAGCTGATAAACAATCTGGGCATTTTCTACCACGGCGACAGATGTTTCATCTTTGGTATAATTACATAAGCAAGTTAAATTACACTTTGCCAGTGGTAAAGGATGCTTCATTCCAAAATCTCAAAAGCACACAGTTTGCATTTTGCGCTCAAAAGCTGTAAAATGTGGGAGTCAGAGTTACCATCCCTTTTGTAATAGAAGTTCTTGTTTACAGGGTTTAAGGAAATTTCTGCCTCGTACGCAAGAATGACTTCGTGTCACCAGCAAATTATTTTAGAACGGCGGTCGAATTTCAATGTATAGAGGGTTTTAGAAATCTATAAAAGAGTCTTTTACAAACTGCCAGGTTCTTTTTGATGGAAGCGTTAATTGCTTATAGTATTCTTCAAATTATTTTTCTTGTTTATACAAAAATACAAAATTACAGCAAAAATTACGTTACTTGTCGTCGCATAAAAACAGCTGATATAAAAATAACTTATCCCAAAAAAGTTTGATAACAATACTTCACAGAAATATAATTATATAATAACCAGTATCACGCTTAAAAGGGCTAGGTCACACGACCTTCGATTTTCCTGTCACACGAGTCACGCTACTCTTTATTGTTTCTCCTGCCATATAATCTATTGTGGTCCTCAAATGAAAAATGTTCAAATGATGACAAGAACTACAGAAATAGACAGTTGTTAGAGGAGGACAGAATTTGATTTTCGATTTTAAACGCTTATATATGTTTACAAAAATGAATTCATATCAATTTGTAGGAAAGTTTTTCTTCTATGTTACAGGGGTGATCCTATTTGTTACATAGCCAAGTTTTTCTTCAGTAAATAAACATATTATTTCATATAAATAAAGGTGAAAGAATTGCCAATAAGGGGTGAGACCTAGCCCTTTTTCTGATACCTGGTACACATTCACTACTAGGGAACGGTGATTATTTCATCTATGTTGACTCAATAAATTCTATTGCGCCATCTTTCCTAAAATTGGAAGTATCTGGTCAAACCGTGGTCTTTTAGTTGGATCATTATTCCAACAAATAGAAATAAGCTTCGACATTTGTGATGACACACCAGGGGGAACAGATGGCCTTAAACCTTCAAGAGCGACCTAAAACAAAAAAAAAAATCTGTCATACAAATTGTTACTCACTTGTTTCTAACCTTGTCTAAATTGAAAATTTGGTTTGAAAGTTCAGTGAGAATAAGAACATTAGGCTGAGTCAACTAAAATCAATGAAACCCCAATAATAAATATTCTAACCCATAATAAGAGGGAGCTTTTTGTTTTAGTTGTAGAGGCACGGCCAATGGCCTCATGGTTAGTGCACTCACCTCTGGATTAAGCAGTTCGGGTTCAAGCCTTGAGTGGGGACATTGTGTTGTGTTGTTAGGCAAGACATTAGTTCTGCATCCTTGTCTCTAATACTGTTAATTCAAAAGTGTATCACCCTATTACCTTCATGCCGACTTCCATTGGCGACAAGTGTCCAAAAGGCACTTCTCTTGTGACAAGCTCCCAAAGGATCATTGCATAACTCCACATGTCCGCTGAACGCTGATCAACTTCCTCAGGGCTTTTTTGAAGAACTATAAAGAACACATGTTACCAAATTTGCATGAGACAAAAATATGCAAGTAGTGGAAAATTACGAAATTTCAAATAAACAAAACACAATTTGATTGCTCTGTGAAGTCAGTAAAAGGGGTTATAACGTTCTGATAATACAATAGTACATGGTTAACCTTCTGGAGCCATCCAGTTAGGGCTTTCAATTTTGCTAAGATTCATGAAGGAAAATCTATAATCAGCCATGCTGACTCTTGCTGTTAGGTCATCATCAATCTAGAACACAAAAGGTGATAAATATTTCATATTTAATAACCAGCTACACAAGTCCTAGTATTGGGGCTTACAAAACATACTTGAATATAGTAATTAATAGCACATCTCTCACTCATTTAGAAAATTGAGTAACTTGCAAGTGTAAATGCATGTACTCGTACCCTACCACATGAACATCTCTTCCATTTTAAGCCCTCCAACCATTTCAAAAAGTCTAGTTAAGCCTTATACTTCCCTATACAAAGTTTGGCTTTTGAGATACCCACTCTCTTAGAATTTCCAGTGACCTTCCACAGAGCAAGGGATGTAGCATTGAAAGATACACTTTATTACAAAAAAGGCCTAACTTCCTTAACTGGATCACAAATAACAAAATTGTCACAAAATAACAATCAGCCCCCATTCAATGTTGTTCATGTATGTTGTGTACATGATATTGCTTAACTACAATATTGGAAACTAGAGGTGGGGGGAATTACATGAGATGGTGCAGTGAAGAATTGTCTCTTGTTAAGGTAGGATGTCTCAACTACTTTTGCAACTGGCTGTAGCAGTTGATTCAGAAAATACTAACAATGTTTCCCATTGTGATTGCTGTCACATTTGTTTATCTTCATTTATGTTGCAAGGGAAAAACAAATGGACAGTGTATGATCACAAAACCCAAAGTTATTAGACAAGTTTATACTTACCATGATGTGTGTACTTTTCAGATACAGTCTTGGAATAAGCTGATCTAAAGAATGAAGGTATTCCATTCCCTTGGCAATATCTAATGCAAACTTCATGCCTTGCTCATGATCCACAATAATACCTGTCAGAATTATGATACAGATGTACTGTTAATTCTGGGTCTGGGAAGAAGTGGCACCTACTGGAAGGCGTGAAAGAAGTTTTGTTTCAAGCCTGGCTGGTGTCACCTTGTTGCTAGGGTCCCTGTAAAAGTGAAGCCTTAGAGCCGATGGCTCATAGCTGCTGGAGCTTATCCCGATTTCTGTAGCATGAAGTGGCTAGGAGTGTTTCTACTCCCCCTGGACAGGATGCTAGTCCATCACAGGTCACTCCCCCGCAATTTGTTAGGTTTCCCCAACAATTCGCCGGTACACATTTATACTCCTGGGTGGAGAGAGGCACTGTGAGAGTTAAGTGTCTTGCCCAAGAACACAAAACTGTGTCCCTGGCCAGGGCTCGAACCCGGACCGCTGGCTCCGAGGACGAGCGTACTGACCATGCGGCCACCGCGCCTCCCTTAGGGTCCCTGTGCTATGTTCAAAATTCAAAACCTAGCAAGAAATGTATCAGATACACATCATGGATGTCTATTGATCTACTGTTCTCAGCTTGTTCTTTTTGTGTCAAATCTCGATAATTAAATTTGTCCCTTGACTCAGGAGACAACTGAGCAGGAGAAGAACCAAGCACACAAGGAGAGATTTCTGTTAAGCATAGTTGGTTCTTATAGAGTTCAATCAAGAGATAGGCTTGATTACTATCTGTTTGCGAAAGGCGTTCAGGGAGGAGTCAGGGAGTGTGAACGAAAAATTATTTGCTTCCCACTCACCTGTTCCTTCGTGTAAGACATTGTAAAGTGAGCCAAATGGGAGGTACTGTGAAAGCACTATCAAGTGCTTGGAGTCATTGACTGCACCAATTACAGGTAAAACATTTGGATGGGAAAATATTCTGGAAATCAAAAGAATTTCAGTCTATATAAACAGCATTGATAACTAGAATACTGAGATTTCATGTTTAAATTTTTTAATTCAAGCAGTGATGTGTTTTAAACTTCTCTTTCCGATGACACACAAAACAATAATTTGGATAAAATAATACACCAATATGGATATAACTACAAAAAGTCTTGATAAAATGCTAATTATGATCTTCCTAAGGTATTAATTTGTGGAACCTGTAGAACTAAGTTTCGTACATCAAACAATTTAAATTGGTCTATTTTAGTTTCTTCCCCTTTTAATTTTCAAAACAATGATATGTAAATGATAACAATAGATGTGGGTTATTGAGCAAGCCTGAGGTCAAAATGGCTGGATGTTGGGCAAGTATTTTTTAGCATGTTTATGGACATGCAAAAAAACCCAAAAAGAACGAGGCCAATATCGAGCCATCTTGACTGCGCAAGCTTGACCAATAAAAGATTTATTATATGGAAAAAGAAGAGTGTTTTCTTGCGGGACACAGGGGTTAGTCCGAGCAGGCAAGAGAGTGCCATTTTGCCCTCTCAGATAGCCAATCACAGACAGCACAGGATTCAGTTCATCTTCTCCAGTCACAGAGCTAGCCATATAATAATGGCATTCATTAACTGTTATCTCATTATGACAGAAAGCATTACCTTAATTTTGAGTATTCTTCACTGAAGTCTCTGGATATTCTTTTGTTGACAATTTTTATTGCAAGTTTTTTCCCAATAATATTGAGGTCATTCCACTTTCCTTTCCAAACCTGAAAAAGTACATACAACACAACAAAATAATTTAAGTGGACTTCTAGCTTCTTTATGAGCCTAATGTTACTAGCTACAATAATAAGTAAATGAAAACACAATTTTATTAAAGCAAACATCCCATGCAACAACATATAAGTTAGGGACTGTATTCAAACGTACATTTGTCAAGTCTTTAGGTTCTTATGGAAACTCCCAAGTGGAAGAGTTATTTAATTTAAGCCCGTACCTCTCCAGTAACAGTTTTGCCTATCTTGTTTGTCAAGTCAATCTCCTGTGGCTGGATCCATGAAAGTCTTGACTTGATATCCCGTAAATCTTAAAAATGATGGGTAAAGAAACATAAGTTCATAGCTATTACTGAGAGAGTATTAGTAAGATTTAAATCAAAGGGGAAAAATGAAATAATTTTCAGAATTAGCTGGAAGTAGCTGTTAAACTCAAACAATTCTCAAATACTACTGAAACAGCTGTTTACAGAGAATTAATATTTTTGACAGAGGGTAGACAATAGACGAGCAAGTGAGTCATGCTAGCTAACTTAACCAGAGTGCTATTACTTAACAGAGTGCTATTTTGGCTAAAAGGAGTGTTATTTAGAACTAACCAGCTAACCTGCAAGCAAGCCATGCCTGGGGTCACGTGAACCAATAATTTTTACTGGTTTTAAGGCTAACTGCAAGATAACTACAGAACACTATTCTTGGAAGCTATAAGCTAACCAGGTTCTATAAATAAGCTAACCAGACAGTTATTTAGACTAAATTGAATGGCTTGCATGTTGGCTTGCATGGCTCGCTGACTCACACTTTACGCACACCCTTTTTTCACCAGGCTGTCAGTACAGTGTGATTCAGGTTCTCATGATACATTTTCACTTCTTACTGTTGTTTAATGAAAGAAACCCTAAGTTAGAGCATAATGCAATAAACACAATCAAGCAGTCACTTTCAAACTTCTTCATGACAGCATCAAGAGGGTCAACAGGTTTTTGACTCATAATATCATCAGTGAGAAACTTGATTGAAATGCAAAGAATTCAAGAGACATATGACAAGCACCTCAAGTTAAAAAAAGACAAACATTGTACAAAACACCCTACCATCTTTTCTGCCCAACTTTGAATGATGATCTAGAATATAAAATGATTTCTGACATTACTGTGCATTATTTATAAACAAAATCAGCCACTGCATCTACATGTATGTCCACCACATGGCAGATGATTATATCAATTCTAAGTAGGACAGCAGTGTAGAAAGTTTCATTTATCAACACTCTAATCACTGTAGTTGTGATTAACGTATTTAATATTTTTAGGAGCAAGGTTTGTATGGAATGGATTAAATAAGAAACACTGTTAAATTGTTTTTCTAGGCACCTACTTAGTATTAAGCTTCTTTTTACCATACTCAAGCACACATTAGTGGAGGTGACAAGGCTATATTGGATGCTCTTTAAGCGGTATCACAAAAATATCATCCAGAACTTTCTAATTTAGTTCTCAGTAAAAAAAGAGTGGTATCTGGAACGACACCATATCACCAAAACATAAAAATGCCCTTGTGTTAAGGCTCTCAGCATGAACTTATTAGAAGTGTTTGCTAAAATAAGAAGAACTCAATTAGATCATGGTCCAAGCTTGGTTCTTTTGTTTTGTGTGAATAGAGAAATCAGATTTCTGGTAATATTGACTTTGTTAATCACCTTTATATGGTATTCTTTTAAGGTCTTGCCC